AGTGTTTTTTTTTGCATTTTTTAGTAGAGACGGGGTTTCACTGTGTTAGCCAGGATGGTCTCGATCTCCTGACCTTGTGATCCGCCTGTCTCGGCCTCCCAAAGTGCTGGGATTACAGGCTTGAGCCACCGCGCCCGGCCAAAACTTGGCTTTAAAGAAACTCTTTTTTGAGACAGAATCTGACTCTGTTGCCCAGGCTGGAGTGCAATGGCATGATCTCGGCTCACTGCAAGCTCTGCCTCCCAGGTTCAAGTGATCCTCCCGAGTAGCTGGGATTACAGACACCACCACCAAGCCTGGCTTATTTCTTTGTATTTTTAGTAAAGATGGGGTTTCACCATGTTGGCCAGGCTGGTCTCAAACTCCGGATTTCAAGTGATCCACCTACATCAGCCTCCCAAACTACAGGGATTACAGGAGTGAGCCACCGTGCCCGGCCTCCCACAGTGCTGGGATTACAGATGTGAGCCACTGGGCCTGGCCTCCCACAGTGCTAGGATTACAGGAGTGAGCCACCACGCCCGCCTCCCACAGTGCTGGGATTATAGACGTTACCAACCGCACCCGGCCTCCCACAGTGCTGAGATTACACACGCGAGCCACCACGCCTGCCTCCCACAGTGCTGGGATTACAGACATGAGCCACCACACCCGGCCAAAACTCAATTTCTACTGCAACACCATTTGGGCCCAATGCAAGTTGGGAGACCATAAAATCTGGTCTTAAACAGTTCTTCATGTCATCATAATCTTACAATTATTCCGTAAAAAGGAAAGCCAATGGAGAGAAGCCTCTTGGGTACAGGCCCTTCACTGGTTCTCTGACCTCCAGGCACAGGAAGCTAAGGGGCCCCTCAGAGCTGCTCCCCCTGGAAGGACACCCTCCCTGGAATCTCCTCAGTTCGGGTCCCACCAACTCTCTAATACAGAACTCCATCAAAAAAGTCATCAGGCACGGTCAGGCGCGGTGGCTCACGCCTGTAATCCCAGCACTTTGGGAGGCCGAGACGGGCGGATCACGAGGTCAGGCGATCAAGACCATCCTGGCTAACACGGTGAAACCCCGTCTCTACTAAAAATACAAAAAACTAGCTGGGTGTGGTGGCGGCGCCTGTAGTTCCAGCTACTCGGGAGACTGAGGCAGGAGAATGGCGTGAACCTGGAAGGCGGAGCTTGCAGTGAGCCGAGATCACGCCACCGCACTCCAGCCTGGGTGACAGAGCAAGACTCTGTCTCAAAAAAAAAAAGGCATCAGGCACAACTCCCCATTATCCCACTAGCCCCGGCCTATATGCTCCACTGCCCTAGTAAGCCCAAGCCGTACCACTAGGAGTGGGGCCCCCTAGTCCACGGTAAGAGGCAGCTGACAACATTGGGGGGCACTCAGAGTGCATGTGCCACCCCGATGGGGTGACCCTCCAAGTGTCCTGCTCCCAGCTGCCTCTCACGCCCACACACAGATGTCATGGGTTACAAACCAGTCCCCCTCAGGAACGAGAGCACTTTGGACTCATTCTGTGTGTTTCCAAAACTTCCCTCCTATGGCCCTGCAGGAAGGAGCCTGTCATCCTGATGGGCAGGGGGCTCAGGACCCCCACAAGCTTTCAGCAGAAGGGCAGGCACACAGGACTGGATGCAAAATCCAAAACTTTAGTAGAGCAGGGAGCAAGGAGCCCGAGAGTGGGCACGCTGGCTGTGCACACGCCGGACACTTTCACAAGCACGCAGAACGACCACCTACCACGTCCACAACGCTCCAGATGTCCTGAGTGGAGAGAGCTGTGTTTATTCACCATGTCATACGCGCATATAGGGAACCTCTATTTAGGAGCTGGTGGCCTGCACTCAGCACTGCACAGATAAAAATATACGACTTTCAACACAGATCCAAATACCCTCACAGTTTAAAAGTCAGGATTCCCTACACAAGGTTTAAGCTGACAGGATTCAAGTTCTGAGTTTTCATATATAGCTTTAACTTGTATTAAACACATGTTTATTTACAATGTGGAGAGAGAATAAGGGGCAATTAAGGCCATTTTCTCTTGTGAAACACTGCAAAATATGTACATAAGTACAACCTAATATAGGCAAAGATTCTAAAAATCATCTTTCTTGGCTTCACGTAATTGAGTATCAGTCAGGGAGTGGAGAGCGGCTGCCGATAGCACCAGGCCACACCAGGCCACGCCAACAGGGGCGTGTGTGTTCACTTTTTCATCGAGCTGGCCTCAGAGCTGCCGCCGAGCCGGGCCCTACACGGCCCAGGTGTGTGCCGCACCCCAGACCGGTCTGAAGCACATGTCACCGGTCCCTCAGTTCCATTTCCAAATCCACCAAGGTCCACTCAACATACATCTCCAAAAAGAATCCTGCTCTAGGGTCACCTGCGCTGAGGGAGCACACCCGGGGGTCAAAGGGCAGCCATCAGGAACCCCCCAGGGAAGGGCCTGTGGCCGCCAGTCACTGCAACCCCACCTCACCTCCGATGCCTGCTGTGCCCAGGGTGGTCCCGCTCATAGCGACGGCCTGTGCGTTCGTATGACCTCGAGCGCTCCCGTCGCTGATCTCTGTAGTAATGACTTTTCTTCTTGTATTTTCCTGGATTATCCACCCGCTCCCGTGACCTGCTTCGGGAACGGGATGAACTCCGGCTCCGAGACTTGTGTGGCTTCTGGGGGTACTTGCAGTCCTTGGATTTCCGGGAGCCCCGAATCTCAGAGCCTTTGTAGGGAGCACTGCGGGGGGCCTGTCTCGGTGGGGAGTCACTCCGGCTCCGGGAGCGGCTCTGCGACTTGGACCCGCCAGACGTGGAGCCGCTGTCACTTTTCCTGGGAGGAAGAACACGTGTTCTGCAACCAACCATCTGGCCAGCCAGGCCCAACACGGCCATAGGAGCTCAGACACACAAGCTCCACGTTTAGAGAAACAAGAAACCACCTCAGGTGAGAATGATTACCCCGAGGGACAGCCCCACCCGGTATCGGCCTCCCGGGTGCCCCCCGAGGCACACACCTCCTCTTAGGAGACGCCGATCGGGATGGGGACCTTGAGTAGCTCTGCTCACGGCTCCGGCTCCGACTTCGACTCTCTCGCCCCTTCGGCAAGCTGTGAACAGGACAGGAGCCAATTACAGACCAGAAGTCTCTCCAGCCAACCCCGACAGCCACCCGGGCCGCTCAGGGGTCTTACCCGTTCACGGGGCTGTCTGCCTTGGCTTTCTTGGTGCCCTCCACCCTCCTCTTGGTGTTCTTCACAGAGAGTGGGGAAGGCTTGCTCCCCTTACCTTCTTTGGGGGATTCCACTAGAATCAGAACAAGAGGTTAAAAGCCAACCACAAAAAAACTCTCCCAATAAGAAACAAGTTAGTAGAGCAAGATAAGGCCCCTCTCCAGGTCGAACAGCGATGCAGACTGTAACTGCCTGCTCCCAGCCTGGGACCCGGAACTTACACAGGCATCACAGAAATGCAGATGGAGCCGGGCGCGGGGGCTCACGCCTGTAAGCCCAGCACTTTGGGAGGCTGAGGCGGGGAGATCACGAAGTCAATAGATCAAGACCAGCCTGGCCAACATGGTGAAACCCTGTCTCTACTAAAAATACAAAAATTAGCTGGGCTTGGTGGTGCGCGCTTGTAGTCCCAGCTACTCCAGAGGCTGAGACAGGAGAATCGCTTGAACCCGGTAGGTGGAGGTTAGAGTGAGCCGAGATCGCGCCACAGTACTCACCTGGCAACAGAGCAAGACTCCATCTCAAGAAACAAAACAAAAAACACCCAAAACATATATATGTGTGTGTGTATATATACACACACATGCATACACACAAATTATCTGAGCATGGTGGTGGGCGCCTGTAATCCCAGCTACTTGGGAGGGTGAGGCACAAAAATCACTAGAACCTGGGAGGCAGAGGTTGTAGTGATCCCAGATAGTGCCACTGCACTCCAAGCTGAGCAACAGAGTAAGACTCTGTCTCCGAAAAAAAAAAAAAAAAAAGAAAGCTGGGCATAGTGGCTCACGTCTGTAATCCCACTACTTTGGGAGGCCGAGGCAGGCAGATCACCTGAGATCAGGTGTTCAAGACCAGTCTGACCAACATGGAGAAACCCCATCTCTACCAAAAATACAAAATTAGCTGGGTATGGTGGCAGGTGCCTGTAATCCCAGCTACTTGGGAGGCTGAGGCATGCAAATCGCTTGAACCTGGGAGGCAGAGGTTGCAGTGAGCTGAGACAACGACAATGCATTCAGTCTGGGCAACAAGAGAGAAGCTCTGTCTCAAAAAAAAAAAAAAAAAAAAGAAATGCAAGCTGGGCACAGTGGCTCAGGCCTGTAATCCCAGCACTGTGGGAGGCCAAGGCGGGCGGATCACAAGGCCAGGAGATCGAGACCATCCTGGCTAACCCGGTGAAACCCCGTCTCTACTAAAAAATACAAAAAATTAGCCAGGCGTGGTGGCGGGTGCCTGTAGTCCCAGCTACTTGGGAGGCTAAGGCAGGAGAATGGCGTGAACCCGGGAGGCGGAGCTTGAAGTAAGCCGAGATCGCACCACTGCACTCTAGCCTGGGCAACAGAGCGAGACCCCACCTCAAAAAAAAGAAAACAAAAAACAAAAAAGAATTAGCCAAGCATGGTGGCGTGTGCCTGTAGTCCTAGCTATACAGAAAGCTGAGGCGGGAGGATCACTTGAATCCAGGAGTTGGAAGCTGCAGTAAGCTATGATCATACCACTGTACTCCAGCCTGGGTGACAGAGACCCTGCCTCAAAAAAAAAAAAAAAAAAAGGTCTGGAAGGAGCACATACCCCAGAATGAAGGTTTGGGAGGGTCACCGGCCTTCACCTTTGTGGGGAGTGGATTCCTGCACCCTAACAGACTCACCCAGCTTGGGGGCAGGTGAGAACCCTGAGGTACCATCCAGCACCTGTGCACCCCCAGGCAGCAGGCCCCGGGCTTGGGCCTTTGCCTCTTCGATAGCGTGTTTTCGCTTTTCCACTTCACCCTCCAGGTGTGTGAGATCAACCTGCAAAAGTCAGAAGGCGTCCGTTCAGAATCAGGTGTTTCTGGCCAAACACAAGTGCATACGTGACATGAAAAAATGCTGAAGAACCTTTTTCCGAGCATAAAGCTGCAAGATCTTCAAGCAGATTTCCTGAATTTCTTCTTCAGTTGCTCCAAACAAAAGAAACCAATGGGGACGATTGGGCAAAGGGATCTGTAAAAACAAACACCATCATTGTTACACTTTCCTCAACTTCAAGGCCAGCAAGACTCAGGACAATTAAAAAAACAGCCTGTTGGTTACCAAAATGCTTTGGCCCAGATTAGCATAATTTGAAGAATAATACAGTAAACTTTACTGGAGACTGGCGAAAAAAAAAATCAGACTAGAATCTCTCCAAAGTAGCAACACACTGACCTCCAGTGTCCGGGCAGCAAGATAAATGCAGGCACAGGCGATGCTCTCAGGCTGGAACCGCACGAAGACGTCGGTACGAAGGCTGTCGTTCATGTAATTCCTGGAAGCCAAACACAGCAAGAGCTGCAGCGCCCCACCCCGGGAACCCAGGTCTTCCGCCTGCATTATCTAGAGAAAGTCTAGATCAATTTACTACTCCTCTAAGGAGTCTATTGCTAGGACTCAGAGCTAGACAGTCCTGTGAATCTCAAGAGTTAATGGAGAAATATTCTAGCTGCTTTTTCTAAATACAGGACAGGAAGGCACAGAAATTATTAGAAAAAAAAAAGCTGGCTGAATGTCAGACAATATGTGTTGCTATGAAAGAGAACCAACTTTAACTTTACTTTTCCCCTCAACCTTGGCCTGCTCTCATGCAAAGCACGATGCCTCAGAAAGAAAATGTCTACTGGAGTCACTAAAACGCTTTTGATTAAAGAAATCTAAATGCTCAAAATCCATAGTGCAGAGAAACATGCAAACTCAAATGAACTGGCTGAGCACAAAGCCGGTGCGGCTGCTGGGAGACAAGCCATCCTCTTGCGTTCCTCTTCCTCTTCCTCCAGGGCGCTGGCACCAGGCCCCTTGTCTGCTGACCGAGCTGCAGCTTCCTTGAAGGAGTCCACTTGGAAGAGGGAAAAGCCCCTCGGGTGCAAGCTGGACGCGTGGGAGCGTCGTGCGGAGGCAGGCTCCGCACCCAAGGGCAGGCCTCTTCTTGGGCTCACCAGAGCCGCTGCCAACTGTCCCATTTCAACAAGGAGTCTTAAAATGAACATTCATAGAATCAGAAGCAACACAATACTGAGAAGCAACATGATATTGAACATTTCATCACAGTACATTCTTTAAATTTCATGTTTAGAAGCTATAAAAATACAAAAATCTACATTTTTTAAAAGTTAAAACATTTAAAAACTGGCTACCTTTTTCGCATTTTCCTTCAGATATCTAAGATTTAATAGACTAAAACCAGACCTTATACTAGCTTTATGAATACTGCAAAAACAAAAGGGGTAATTCCGTGAGGACAGGTGAACTGGTTTTCTATTTACTGCTCCTCACACACCCCAACAGCGGTGAGCCCTGGAGCGGGGCTGCACCCACAGACAGATGGGTCGTGTGGGAATCCGACCCACGGCCCTCCCCCAGCAACTGTCCTAAACAAACCTTGGAGAAGGTAACATACAAACCCATCAGAGATTTCTAAATGGTAAGTCTCTGGAGGCAGCTCCAGGGATCACGGGGGAATCTGTGTGGCGTCCGTGTGGCCGCACCCCCTGACGCAAGCGTGCCAGTGCACAGCTCTAACACAGATACACTCAACAATCAGTAACCTTTCGGTTTCTAATCAACAACTTTCAGTATTCAAGTACTGATAGTATTAATCCATGAACTTTAAATTCTTAAAAACAAATGAAATCTTGAGAACATAGAAACTTATTGCTGTATTTGAAATGATACAATATTTTTTAAAGTATCCATGAAATAATTTAAAGATGCACACCTTTTACCAGAGCGTGTCACCCAAAGCTGCTGAAAAGAGCAACTTCAGGGCTTCTAGAAATCATGACATAACCCCACACTGACATCAGCCAATTTGTCTTTTCAATTCTCACAGCTTTCCATACCATTTTTTTTTTTTTAAGAGAAAGGTACTGCATCTTTATCATACAGGTACAGCAGTTTTAAAGGGACAAAATTCAAGTCAAGACAGTTATCAACTCTAATCAATACAATTACCAAAGCACGACAGAGGATTAACAAGAAGCACAATCGTCAGAGAACCACAGCAGGAGTCGGCCATGGCTATGCTATGTGCGTACCACCAGTCTAGAGCCAGCCTTCGGTGGAGAGCCTGCACTGGATTGGCTGAAGACGCCGCTGTCCCTGCACCAAAGCGCTTGGACAGCAGAGGAGAAGTCTTAGTCACTTACCCTCAGAGGCTACCCTTTGATTGAAAGAGTACAGAAAAGAAAAGTCAAAATAGGTTCTCTATTCAACATGTCATAGCACCAGACAATTCAGTCAGCAAAAATATGACCCTTACAGACTTAACTCCATGGGAAAAAATTCACCAAAATACCCCCAATATTAAACTGCCACTTTAGGGTTCCTTTCTAGCACATGCGTTGCTAAAATCAGCCCCAGAACCTTCTCTGCCCTTCTCCCATGGGATGCAATGTCAGCGGAGAAACAGACAAAGTCTCCACTAGCCTGTCCCTCCACCTTTCCCGGGAAAAGGTCCTCCTGCGCCAAGTCAACAGCTCCCAGAGGAAGCCCACTGACTGCTCTCTTCCGGGGGGACACAGGAAGTCCAGGCTTGCAGGGAGGGACGGGCCACCTACCGTGACTGCCAGTGCCCATTCTGGGAGTCTGATTGGAATTTATACAGCAGGAGCACTGGGCACTCGGACAACTCCAGCCCACAACCAAGTCACTGGGCTGCCTACCCACTGCCCAAGTGCCTCAAGTCAATACATTCCTGCACTGCCCTTGCTGGTCTCATAAAACAAGGAAGCTCAACTCACCATGAGGTCTGGACCAGGTGTTGGTTACGCTCACACTCTAACACCTGAAGGTACATAACGATTATCTGGAAGATACGGGTCAGGCAGTTATTACCAAGAACCTTAAGAGCCCAGAATTCAGATCTTGTGGGTGTCCATGCAGCAAATAAGAGCCTCATGCTAGATCCCAGGAGTGGCTCCTGGCCACACGTCTGGCAGATGGCTCGGCTGGAGGGAGCTTTGCGGATGCACCTGCTGTCTGCCTTGGCAGCCAGGCAGGATGCATGCCTGTGAGCCCAGCCGCACAACCCACGGCACAGGCCTCATTCTTCATGGGGCTGGTTTCATTCTCATCTCCAAGGCCTTTCCACCAGTGAGGTTAGCCTGTTCTACACGTCTCTGTACCCCAATTACCAACTCACCAAAATACAGTATCAACACACTTTCAGCAAACAGAGAAGAACACTTCAGGCTGGGCATGCTGGCTCATGCCTGTAATCCCAGCACTTTGGGAGGCTGAGGTGGGCAGATCACCTGAGGTCGGGAGTTCGAGACCAGCCTGACCAATATGGAGAAACCCCCGTCTCTACTAAAAACACAAAATTAGCTGGGCGTGGTGGCGCGTGCCTGTAATCCCAGGTACTTGGGAGGCAGAGGGCTACACAGCAAGACTCCGACTCCAAAAAAAAAAAAAAAAAAAAGAAAAGCACTTCAATCTGTGGTGGGCAATTTATGTATAATTTGAACAAATGGCAGAAAGTGGAACAAGCAAATGAGGAAACCCACCAGTAATAAAGGAGATGGAAACAATTTTTCTGAGTAAAACAAGTGCTCTGTTTCCGTGTAACACAGAAGGCACCCACAATGCTGGGACTGAGGGACAGTGTCGCGGTCATGGTCCTCAGTCAGTACATGCCGCAAAACTTGCCAGTCATTTCAGACTAAAGGGGCCAAAATTCCACTAATTCCTCCATAAGAGGAAGTAAGGCTACCACTGAAGCAACTTTAGAAAATTAACTGTTGAGGCTGGGTGCAGTGGTTCACGCCTGTAATCCCAGCACTTTGGGAGGCTGAGCTGGGTACATCGCCTGAAATCAGGAGTTTGAGACCAGCCTGGCCAACATGGTGAAACCCCATCTCTACTAAAGATACAAAAATTAGCCAGGTGTGGTGGCGCATGCCTGTAATCCCAGCTACTTGGGAGGCTGAGGCACGAGAATCACTTGAACCCGGGAGGCGGAGGTTGCAGTGAGCCGACACAGTGAGATTCTGTCTCAAAAAAAAAAAAAGGCTGGGCACGGTGGCTCATGCCTGTAATCCCGGCACTTTGGGAGGTCCAGGTTGGAGGATCACGAGGGCAAGAGATCAAGACCATTCTGGCCAACGTGGTGAAACCCTGTCTCTACTAAAAATACAAAAACCAGCTGGGCATGGTGGCAGTGCCTGTAGGGCCAGCTACTCGGGAGGCTGAGGCAGGAGAATCGCTTGAACCCCGGAGGTGGAGGTTGTGCCTCCATTGCCACTGCCACCATGCCACTGCACTCTAGCCTGGCAACAAAGCAAGACTCCACTTCAAAAAAAAGAAAAAAGAAAAAAAAACTTAACTGTTGAGAAAGAAAAATGTAAACTAAAATTCAATTTTTATAAACTCATCACTATTTTTGAAAGCCCAAACTTAAACAATGCCATTTCCAAAACTCTTAAAAATATATTACTAAAATAAACAGCTGACACTAGAAGACGAATGCGTCAGGAGCTACTTTTGAGATGATAGATGGAAACCGGGAAGCCAAGTCAGGGAGGCACTCAGCCCTCTTCAGAGCCTTCAACTGCACTGAGGTGGAGAGAGGCGGCCAGGCTGCAGCAGCGGCCTAGGCGGGCTTGCAGGGCAGGAGCCACACACCCACCTTATGAGGATGCTTCACATGGACGCAGAAACCCAACTCTTTGAGAACTCGTCTTTCCGCCTTTATTATTTGGTTCTTTAAATTAACATAATCTTGATCCAATAGTAGAGGCACGGGCTTCCTGCCAAAGAGAGAGCAGAGGTTATCCATCACAGTCGAGCAGAGCAAGCCTTCTGAGATGCCGTCATTACCTCCCACTAAGCACCTAACTTGAAAACGCAAACCCCACAACACAACATCGCTGGAAAGTCCATGTCCTCTGATAACAAAACCGCACACCGTTTCTCACAGCCCAGTGCCAACCTACTCATCCCTTCCCAACGATCCTCCCCACTTTTCCTTACAGATTAACAGCTTCTGGTGCACAAGCATAGACCGAACATAGCAACAGTTTTAGGATCTCATGGCACAAATGCTAACAGCACTTTATGTGACTCAAGATATGAGGATACAGGGCCGGGCATGGTGGCTCAAGCCTGTAATCCCAGCACTTTGGGAGGCCGAGACGGGCGGATCACGAGGTCAGGAGATCGAGACCATCCTGGCTAACACGGTGAAACCCCGTCTCTACTAAAAAATACAAAAAACTAGCCAGGCGAGGTGGCGGGCATCTGTAGTCCCAGCTATTTGGGAGGCTGAGGCAGGAGAATGGCGTAAATCCAGGAGGCAGAGCTTGCAGTGAGCTGAGATCTGGCCACTGCACTCCAGCCTGGGTGACAGAGCGAGACTCCATCTCAAAAAAAAAAAAAAGAGGATACATATTCACAGTTCCACAACCATAGAACCAATGAAAGCACAATATTTAAATACAGATGGGCCAGATGCGGTAGCTTACGCCTGTAACACCAGCACTTTGGGAGGCCAAGGCAGGCAGATTGCCTGAGCTCAGGAGTACGACACCAGTCTGACCAACATGGTGAAACCCCACCTCCACTAAAAAAATATAAAAATTAGCCTGGCGTGGTGGTGGGTGCATATAATCCCAGCTACTCAGGAGGCTGAGGCAGGAGATTCACTTGAACCCAGGAGGCAGAGGTTTCAGTGAGCCAAGATTGCATCACTGCACTCCAGCCAGGGTGACAGTGAGACACAGTGAGACTCCGTCTCAAAAAAAAAAAAAAAAAAAAAAAAAAGGGCCGGGTGCGGTGGCTCACATCTGTAATCCCAGCACCCTGGGAGGCCGATAAGGCCATGTTTCTTCTTTTTTTGAAAGAGACTCACGCTCTTGTCCCCCAGGCTGGAGTGCAGTGGTGCGATCTCAGCTCACTATAATCTCCACCTCCCGGATTCAAGCGATTCTCCTGCCTCAGCCTGCCGAGTAGCTGGGACTACAGGCTCCTGCCACCTCGCCCGGCTAAGTTTTTGTATTTTCAGTAGAGATGGGGTTTCTCCATGTTGGTCAGGCTGGTCTCCAACTCCCGACCTCAGATGACCCACCCACCTCGGCCTCCCAAAGTGCTGGGATCACAGGCGTGAGCCACCATGCCCGGCAAGGCCAGGGTTTTATTTTGTTTTGAGACGCAGTTTCACTTTTGTTGCCCAGGCTGGAGTGCAATGGCACAATCTCAGCTCATTGCAACCTCTACCTTCCGGGTTCCAACGATTCTCCTGCCTCACCCTCCCGAGTAGCTGGGATTATAGGTACCCACAACCACACGCAGCTAGTTTTTTTTTTTTTTTGAGACGGAGTCTTGCTCTGTCACCCAAGCTGGAGTGCAGTGGCACCATCTCGGATCACTGCAAGCTCCGCCTCCCGGGTTCACGTCATTCTCCTGCCTCAGCCTCCCGAGTAGCTGGGACCACAGGCACCCGCCACCTCGCCCGGCTTTTTTGTATTTTTAGTAGACAGGGTTTCACTGTGTTAGCCAGGATGGTCTCGATCTCCTGATCTCGTGATCCACCCGCCTTGGCCTCCCAAAGTGCTGGGATTACAGGTGTAAGCCATCATGCCCGGTCAATTTGTGTTTTTAACAGGGACGGGGTTTCACCATGTTAGGATGGTCTCGAACTCCTGACCTCAGGTGATCCACCTGCCTAGGCCTCCCAAGGTGCTGGGATTACAGGCAGGAATCACCACACGCGCCTGGCCAGAGGCTGTGTTTTACTTTTATTTTACTTATTTATTTTTTGAGACGGAGTCTCGCTCTGTCTTTCAGGCTGGAATGCAGGGACGGGACCTCAGCTCAATGCAAGCTCCGCTTCCCGGGTTCACGCCATTCTCCTGCCTCAGCCTCCCGAGTAGCTGGGACTACAGGCGCCCGCCGCCACGCCCGGCTAATTTTTTTGTATTTTTAGTAGAGACAGGGTTTCACCGTGTTAGCCAAGATGGTCTCCATCTGCTGACCTTTTGATCCGCCCGCCTTGGCCTCCCAAAGTGCTGGAAATACAGACGTGAGCCACCACACCTGGCCGAGGATGTGTTTTCTAAAGGACTTCCATTAACTTCAGGTGCATAAACCCTGGGTCAGAGACAACGGTTCTCTGCTGGAGAAATTTTGCTATTCCAGGGCCGTGAAGCAACATCAAGATACTTTCGGGTTTTTTGTAAACAGGATCTCACTCTGCCATCCAGGTTGGAGTGCAGTAGTGACATCACAGATAACTGTAGTCTCAATCTCCTGGCCTCAAGCAAACCTCCTTCTTCAGTCTCCCAAGTGCTGGGATTACAGGTGTGAGCCACCACACCTGGTATGAGAGAATTTCTGGCTGTCACAACTAAGGTGGGGTACTTCTGTCATCCAGTGAGTAGAGACCAGGGATGCTGCTGAATCCTGCAACACACAGGAGAATCCCCTACAACTAAAGATTACCCAGCCAGATGCGGTGGCTGAAACCTGTAATCCCAGCGCTTTGGGAGGCTAAGCCCAGCAAATCCTTGGGGCCCAGGAATTTGAGACCAGCCTGGGCAACACAGCGTGACCACATCTCTACCAAATAAAAAATAAAAATTAGCTGGCAAGGTGTCGTGCTCCTGTAGTCCCAGCTACTCAAGAGGCTGAGGCAGGAGAAACTCTTGAGCTTACGAGATTGAGGCTGCAGTGAACCATGATCATGCCACCACACTCTGCCCTGGACAACAGGAAACCGTCTCGGGGGGAAAAAAAGATTATCCAGCCTGAATGTCAATAGTGCTGAGATTAAGACTCCCTGCTGTAGAGCGTTTGGAAACCTGTAGGAAAGAAACAGCAACAGGGCTGTGCACTAGTGCCGGCATGAACCGCCACAGTGCACTATCCTCACTGGAGGCCCTGCCCTCACTGAACAGCATCTGCCGATGCCTCTGAGCAGGCCCTGTTCGTGGAACTTGAGATTACGCTCATGAACATCCCACATGTTTAGAACCTCAGGCCTGTACTGTTATACCAGTGTCACTGCAGCTTCACCAGAAAAAAAGGAAACAGACACCTATGATAGACTAAACAACTCTGACCGACTCACTTTTTCTCTCTTAGCTGTCGCAGGCGGTGAAACACATTGATGACGTCCCGAATGCGTCTTGGAGCCTCTTCTATCTTGGAAGCCAGGTGGACACAGGCCATTGACACGTGCTGAAGCGGAAGCATGGCAACACGCCCATGTTTGTCCCCAGCCACGGCGTCCTGACGGCCGCCAAAGGCTTGAAGGCTATTCAGACCAAAAGGGAGGTGCACCCAGGGAAAAAAGAAACCAAGAAACAGAACCCTCCGGCACAGAGCTCAGCCTGGGGGGCAGGTACTCGCTCCCCTGAGTACCCGGCACAGAGCTCAGCCTGGGGGGCAGGTACTCGCTCCCCTGAGTA